GGCGTGTGCCTGTAATCCCAGCTACTCAGGAGGCTGAGGCAGAATTGCCTGAGCCCAGGAGGCGGAGGTTGCGGTGAGCTGAGATCGCACCATTGCACTTCAGTCTGGGTAACAAGAGCGAAACTCCGTCTCAAAAAAAAAAAAAAAAAAAAAAAAAAAAAACTGACATAGATCTCGGTCCTCGGAAGTGGGGTGCTGCAGTAACAAATACCTAAAAATGTGGAAGTGGCTTTGGAACTGGGCAATAGGTAGAGGCTGAGTTTTGAGGTGCATGTTAGAAAAAGTCTATGTTGGACGGGCATGATGGCTCACCTCTGTAATCCCAGTACTTTGGGAAGCCGAAGTGGGTGGATCACGAGGTCAAGAGACCTATTTTTTTTTTTTTTTTAGAGGTCAAGAGAGATCTAGACCAGCCTGGCCAACATGCTGAAACCCTGTTTCTACTAAAAATACAAAAATTAGCTGGGCGTGGTGGCATGTGCCTGTAGTCCCAGCTACTTGGGAGGCTGAGGCAGGGGAATTGTTTGAACCTGGGAGGCGGAGGTTGCAGGGAGCCGAGATCACACCACTGCACTCTAGCCTGGGAACAGAGTGAGACTCTGTCTCAGAAAAACAAAAAACAAAAAAACCAACCAAAAACAAAACCAAAAAACATATGTTGCTGCTGTGGTCTTAACATTTGTGTCCCCCTGCCACCTGCAATCCCTATGTTGAAGCCTAATCCCCAGTGTAATGATATTAGGAGGTGGGGCCTTTGGGAGGTGATTAGGTCATTCCCTTATAAGTGATGAAGGGACCAGAGTTCTACTCTCCCACCATGTGAGGGTACAGAGAGAAGGAGCCACCTGTGAGGAAACAGACCCTCATTAGACACTAAATTTGCCAGCACCTTGATTTTGGACTTCCCAGACCCCAGAATCGTGAGAAATCAATTTCAGTTGTCCATAAGCTACCCAGTTTATGGTATTTTGTCAGAGCAGTCCAAACGGACTAAGACAATTATCTTGAAGACTACTGGTAGAAATATGGATGTTGAGGGTGCTCCTGGTGAGGCCTCAGATGGAAATGAGGAATATGTTATTGGAAAATGGAGGAAAGGCAAAAAAACTTGGTTAATTGTGTTCTAGTGTTTTGTGGAAGGTAGAAGTTGTGAGACGTGAACTTGGGAGATTTAGCTAAGGAGATTTCTAAGCAGCGTGTTATGTGGCCTCATTTCTCTTTGCTGCTTCTGGTAGAATGCAAGAGGAGAGAGAGAAATTGAAAAAGAAATTGTCAGGCAGACAGGAACTTGAATGTGAAGATAAAAAAAAAAAAAAATTCTCAACCTATCCAATACTGCAAAAGCTGAGAATGTGCTCTGGTGAGAAGACAAAGGGTGTGGCTAGACAATCATGCCACAAAGAGATCATGGGTGTGACTCACTGACCTAATCAGCCATCTCAGCAGAAGCCAGAAATAGAGATGGGTAATACCAGCAGAAATACGGCCAGCTGGGACTAAAGAGGACAGAGATGGGACAAAATGAAAGAAGACTGCAGGACCTCTGGGATTCAACAGGACAAGACAACAGAGCTTTCTGGCTGTGAGCATGCATTATACTTCAAGAAAAAGGAAGAATAATCCCAAAGGTGAGGCTGTCTCCTCCTCAGTTCCAGAGGGCAGAGAGACCTCCTCTGTTTCAGTGGGCCAGGCTGCCACCCAGAGCTCAGGGAGCAACACCGCCTTTCTAGTGAGCCAGCAAAGTGGGGCCCCCAATCCTGTGGGCCCAGAGGACAGAGCATAGAGCCAAATAAGATTATTCTCAAGCCTTAAAAATCAAAAAGAATTTGTCTTACTCAGTTTCAAACTTATTTGGGACCTGTGGTCCTTTTTTTTTTTTTTTTTTTTTTCTGAGATAGGGTCTCACTCTGTTGCCCAGGCTGGGGTATAGTGGTGAGATCAGGGCTTACTGCAGCCTCGGCCTCCTGGGCTTAATTAATCCTCCCACCTCAGCCTCCTGAGGAGCTGGGACTATAGGTGTATACCACCATACCTGGCTAAGTTTTTAATTTTTTGTAGAGACAGGGTTTCACCATGTTGCCCTGGGTGGTCTCAAATTCCTGGGTTCAAGTGACCCTCCCATCTCAGCCTCCCAAAATGCTGGGATTACATTCATGAGACACCATGCCTGGCCTGTGATCCCCTTCTTCTTTCTGATTTCTTCTTTTTGGAATGGAAATATCTATCTAGCTTATGCTTGTCCTACCACTGAATTTTGGAAGCAGATAATTTATCTAGTTTCACGGGTTCACAGCTAGAGAATTTTTGCATCGTGATGAATCATACCTCCAGTCTCATTCACACTTGATTCAGATGATATTTATGTAAGACTTGGGACTTAATGTTGGACTGGGTTAAGAGTTTTTGGAGGCCGGGCACAGTGGCTTATGCCTATAATTCCAGCACTTTGGGAGGCCAAGGTGGGTGAATCACCTGAGGCCAGGAGTTCGAGACCAGCCAGGCCAACATAGTGAAACCCTGTCTCTACTAAAAATACAGAAATTAGCCAGGCGTGGTGATGAATGCCTATAATCCCAGATACTTGGGAGGCTGAGGCAGGAGAATCACTTGAACCCGGGAGGCGGAGGTTGCAGTGACTTTAAATCGTGCCATTGCACTCCAACCTGGGCCACAGAACAAGACTCTGTCTCCAAAAGAAAAAAAAAAAAAAAAAAAAGAGAGAGAAAGCACGAGAGAGAGCATTGGGCTGTTGGGATGGGGGTGAACATATTTGCACACAAGGACATGAATTCTGGGAGGCCAGAGAGAACAGAATGTCATAGACTGAACTGTATCCTCCTCAAATTTGTATGTTAAAGCCCTAACCCCCAATACCACAGAATGTGACTATATTTGGAGACAGGGACTTTAAAGGGGTAGTTAAGTTAAAATGAGACTGAGTGGGGCCTAATCCAACACAGCTTCCCCTACCCTTTTTTTTTTTTTTTTTTTTTGAGACAGTCTCTTGCCCAGGCTGCCAGGCTGGAGTACAGTGGTGCCATGATATTGGCTCACTGCAACCTTGACTTCCCGGGTTCAAGTGATTCTCCTGCCTCAGCCTCCCAAGTAGCTGGGATTACAGGCATGTGCCACCACGCCAGGCTAATTTTTGTATTTTTAGTAGAGACAGGGTTTCACTATGTTGGCCAGGCTGGTCTCAAACTCCTGACCTTAGGTGATCCACATGCACTGGGCCACTGCGCCTGGTAGGCGCCCTTTTTTTTTTTTTTTTTTAAAGACAGGGTCTCACCAGGATCATGGCTCATTGCAGCCTCCACCTCCCCAGCTCAGGTGATCCTCCCACCTTGGCCTCATGATGCCTGGCTAATTTTTAAAAATCTTTTGTAGATATGGGATTTCATCATGTTGCCCAGGCTGGTCAAATGGTGTCCTCATAAAAGGAAATTTGGGCCAGGCATGGTAGCTCATGCCTATAGTCTCAGCTACTTGGGAGGCTGAGGTGGGAGGATCACTTGAATATAGGAGTTTGAGATTAGCTTGGGCAACATAGTGAGACCCTGCCTCTACAAAAAATTTTAAATAAAGTCAGTAATAATGGCATATGCCTGTTGTCCCAGTTACTTGGGAGGCTAAGGTGGGAGGATTGCTTGAGCCCAGGAGTTCGAGACCAGCCTGGGCAACATAGTGAGACTCCATTGCTATTAAAAAAAAAATAACTAGCAGTATGTGGTGGTGTACAGCTGTAGTCCCAGATACTCAGGAGGCTGAGGCAGGAAGATCGCTGGAGCCCGGGAGGTAGAGGCTGCAGTGAACCATGATCACATCACTGCATTCCAGCCTGGCACATAGTGAGGTCCTGTCTCAAAAAAAAAAAAAAAAAAAAAAGGAAATTTGGACACACCAGGGACACTAGTTCCTGGTGAGACCACGTGAGGACACAGTGAGAAGGTGGCCACCTGCAAGCTACGGAGAGGAGCTGCAGGAGAAGCCAAACCTGCTGACAGCTTGATCTTGGACTCTGGAACTGTGAGAAAATGAATTTCCGTGGTTTAGGCCCCCTAGTCTGTGGCTTTTTTTTTTTTTTTTCATTCTTTTTAATTTATTTTTTCGAGACAGGGTCTCACTTTGTCAGCCAGGCTGGCGTGCAGTGGTGCGATCTCAGCTCACTGCCGCCTTGACCTCCCAGGTTCAAGTGATCCTCCTGTCTCAGCCCCCAAGTAGCTGGGATTACAGGTGTGTGCCACCATGCCTGGCTGATTTTTGTATTTTTTGTAGAGACGGGGTTTCGTCATGTTGCCCAGGCTGGTCTTGAACTCCTGAGCCTAAGCAATTCTCCCACCTCAGCCTCTCAAAGTGCTGGGATTACAGGTGTGAGCCACTGCACCTGGCCTTGCATATAATTCTCTTTTTTTTTAAATTGCATTTTAGGTTTTGGAGTACATGTGAAGAACATGCAAGATTGTTGCATAGGTACACACATGGCAGTGTGATCTGCTGCCTCCATCCCCATCACCTATATCTGGCATTTGTCCCCATGCTCTCTCTCCCCAACTCCCCACCCCCCGCTGTCCCTCCCCTATTTCCCCCCGACAGACCCCAATGTGTGATGCTCCCCTCCCTGTGTCCATGTGTTCTCATTGTTCAACACCTGCCTGTGAGTGAGAACATGTGGTGTTTTATTTTCTGTTCTTGTGTCAGTTTGCTGGGAATGATGGTTTCCAGGTTCATCCATGTCCCTACAAAGGACACGAACTCATCATTTTTTATGGCTGCATAGTATTCCATGGTGTATATGTGTCTATGGCATTTTGTTATGGCAGCTCGAGTTAAGACAAAGTGACTGTGGGGCCAGTGATAGGGTCTGTGTGGTGAGTTATGGGGTCTTGGGAGGTCAGTGATGGAGGTTTGTGAGGTCAGAGGTGGGTGGTCTATATGAGGCCGATGGGGGTCTGTGGGGTCATAGGGCATCTCTGGGGTTAGTAATTAAAGATCGCTCAGTATTAGAGTCAAGATCTTTTATTTCCCGATTTTAAAAATTACCACCATCATAGACCTCCTGGCTTCTCTTGTATCTGTGTCCCAATGGCTCCCAGCAGTGCCTCCACACAGCCCCTTTCTTCCCCATCTCATGCCCACCCATGAGCCAGAGTGTACACATCAATTAGCTTTGTCCCTCCAACCTGTAGGAGCAGGACTAGACTCTTCCGGCAGGTGGAGAGCTCCTCCTTGGTCAGCATTTGAGCCCTGTCCACAACTCCTCAGTTCTTCTTGCTCTTGGCTTTCGTGGCCTTGGCATCCAGCATGCTCTGGGCATGAGTGAGGTGCTTCACAGCATCAAGCACGAGGACTCCAGGCAGCACCAGCCACAGGCTGTTCATGAAGACAAAGTAAAACCAGAAGTAGAGAGGGTGGCCCAGCTCCCCGTGCTGGAATCCGTCACGGTGCTCCGTCAGGAAGTAGAGCACATCCCCATAGATCTGACCTGTGGGTGGCAGGAGGGAAAGGAGAAGCCCCTGTGAGGAAGGGGAAGCTTTCCCCAACTCTATTTCAAGGCACTTTCCAAGTTATCATTTAGGGTCAGAGCTAAGTATTCTGAAATCCTAAAGCTGAAAAACTAAGAAATCAGAAAAGCGGGATTCCAGACGGCAGAGAGCTGAGAATTTCTGAACTCAGGAGAGCTCACACCTTCAGATTTAAGAAAGTTCAAAATCCTAGAATCCAAGACAGCTTAGGATTCTGGGACTAAAGATAACTCCTATCTCTAGAACTAAAGAAAGCTAACAAATTTTTTTTTTTTCTTTTTTTGAGACGGAGTTTCGCTCTTGTTACCCAGGCTGGAGTGCAATGGCGCGATCTCGGCTCACCGCAACCTCCGCCTCCTGGGTTCAGGCAATTCTCCTGCCTCAGCCTCCTGAGTAGCTGGGATTACAGGCACGCGCCACCATGCCCAGCTAATTGTTAGTATTTTTAGTAGAGACGGGGTTTCACCATGTTGACCAGGATGGTCTCAATCTCTTGACCTCGTGATCCACCCGCCTCGGCCTCCCAAAGTGCTGGGATTACAGGCTTGAGCCACCGCGCCGGGCCGAAAGCTAACAATTTAACAACACAAGACGACTGAGGCCAGGCACGGTGGCTCAAGCCTGTAATCCCAGCACTTCAGGAGGCCAAGCCAGGAGGATTGCTTGAACTCAGGAGCTTGCGACCAGCCTGGGCAACATGGCAAAACTCCATCTCTACTAAAAATACAAAAATTAGCCAGGCACGGTGACACACGCCTGTAGTCTCAGCTATTCAGGAGGCTGAGCGGGGGAAGACTGCTTGAGCCTAGGAGGTAGAGGTTGCAGTGAGCTGAGATCATGCCATAGCACTCTGGCCTGAGTGACAGAGCCAGACCCTGTTTTTAAAAAAAAGATGACTGAGCCGGGTGTGGCAGCTCACGCCTATAATCCAAGCACTTTGGAGGCCAAGGCGGGTGGATCACCTGAGGTCAAGAGTTCAAGACCAGCCTGACCAACATGGTGAAACCTCGTCTTAAAAAAACAAAAAACAAACAAACAAAAAAACCTGAATCTTACAGGAAAGGATCTCAGAGTCCTGACCCTGGAGGTTCCAGGGGTTTCCTGCCACCCTGAGCCACCTCATATAACCTTCACAGGAGACTTTGTGATGGAGGAGGAGGAAGAAAAATGAACCCTCCCCACCTGAGAGCACAGGCTCAGAGAAGCGCATGGCCGTTCCAGAGCCTCAGGGGGTTTGTCATTGAGTCTGACTCATCCCTGGAAGGGCACCATTGAGAGATCCCACCCACAGGGATGCACCTGTGTCTGTGGGTCCCCCACCTAGTGTCCAGTGATTCTCTAGTGCCCTCTCCTCACCCACAGAGACCACGAGCTGTAGAACGAAGCGTAGGGGATGCTGGCGGAGAAAGGCAATCACCACCCACAGGCTGAGTGGTCCCCAAAGGCAAACTGTGATGCTCTCCATGCACACTGTGAAGTTGTCACCCCTGTGGGAGAAAGCATGAGGGGACACTGGCATTGCTGTGCTCTTCCCACAGGTGACCCCTTTAGTGCTCCCCAACTCACCACCCCCGCCCCCAAAACCAATGCCAGTCTCCACTGACAGAGGCAAACACTTACAGGATGTATCGACTGTCTCCCTTGGAATATTCTTTCCCTGAAGAAAAGAGAGAGATAGGAAGAATAAAGGCAGGTAAAGGAACCCACATTTGTGAGAGCTGGGGGCCCCTGCAAGCAACTTCATAACCTTCCCACATGTCCGCTTCCTCATCAGTGAAATAGGGTAACTGTTTGGATTCTAGTGGTTTATCTAAAACAAGGTAACGTATGCAAAGCCTGACACGAAACAGTGTGGCTGTGATTGGTACTCAAGAAATGTGCGTGGCATAAAAGGAGGCAGGTGTAGATGATGGGAGTGAGTAAAGTAGCTAATGAGACAGAGAGAATGTAGTTGAACAGATGAGTCAATAAAAGAATGAGCAGAGTAGTCAGACGTGGTAGTGTGCGCCTGTAATCCCAGCTACTTGGCAGGCTGAGGCAGGAGAATCACTTAAACCTGGGAGGCAGAGATTGCAGTGAGTGGAGACCACGCCATTGCACTCCAGCCTGGGCAACAGAGCGAGAATCCATCTTAAAAAAATAAAAAAAAAACAATATATTAAAAAAAAGAGCAGAGAATCGGGCTGGGCGTGGTGGCTCATACCTGTAATCCCAACACTTTGGGAGGCTAAGGTGGGATGACGGCTTGCATAAAGCAGTTCGAGACTAGTCTGAACAGTATAGTGAGACCACACCTCTACAAAACATACAAAAATTAGTTGGACATGGTGGCATGCACCTAAGCTGAAGTGGGAGGATGGCCTGAGCCCAGGAGGTTGAGGCTGCAGTGAACTATGATAGCACCATGGCGCTCAGCCTGCGCGACAGAGTGAGACCCTGTCTCAGGGAAAAAAAGAAAGAAAGAAAAAGACCATCCAATATAAAGCTAGGCAAAAGACTTGAATAGGTTATTCACAAAGAGGATTTCTAAATGGCCAATAAGCACACGAAAGATGTTCAAACTTCCATTAGTCACTAAGGAAAAGCAAATTAAAACCAAAATGAGGTATCACTCACATCTACTGGAATGACTAAAATTTAAGAAACATCTGACCAGCCGGGCTCAGTGGTTCACACCTGTAATCCCAGCACTTTGGGAAACCGAGGCAGGTGGATCACCTGAGGTCAGGAGTATGAGACCAGCCTGACAAACACGGTGAAACCCCGTTTCTACTAAAAATACAAAAATGAGCTGGGTGTGGTGGCACATGCCTGTAATCCCAGCTACTCAGGAGGCTGAGGCAGGAGAATTGCCTGGACCTGGGAGGCGGAGGTTGCGGTGAGCTGAGATTGTAGCACTGCACTCCTGCATGGGTGACAGAGTGAGACTTGGCCTCCAAAAAATAAAAACAAACAAACAAACAAAATCTGATGATAGCAAGTGTTGGCAAGGATGTAGAGGAACCAGAATTCTCCTACGTTGCTGGTGGAAATATAAAACGGTGAAACCATTTTGGAAACACAGTTTGGTAGTTTTCCATAAATTTTTTTTTTTTTTTTTTGAGACGGAGTTTCGCTCTTGTTACCCAGGCTGGAGTGCAATGGCGCGATCTCGGCTCACCGCAACCTCCGCCTCCTAGGTTCAGGCAATTCTCCTGCCTCAGCCTCCTGAGTAGCTGGGATTACAGGCACGCGCCACCATGCCCAGCTAATTTTTTGTATTTTTAGTAGAGACAGGGTTTCACCATGTTGACCAGGTTGGTCTTGATCTCTCGACCTTGTGATCCACCCGCCTCGGCCTCCCAAAGTGCTGGGATTACAGGCTTGAGCCACCGCGCCTGGCCAAAATTAACTCTTACTTCTTTTTTTTTTTTTTTTTTTTGAGACGGAGTTTTGCTCTTGTTACCCAGATTGGAGTGCAATGGCGCGATCTCGGCTCACTGCAACCTCCTCCTCCTGGGTTCAGGCAATTCTCCTGCCTCAGCCTCCTGAGTAGCTGGAATTACAGGCACACGCCACCATGCCCAGCTAATTTTTTGTATTTTTTTTTAGTAGAGACGGGGTTTCACCACGTTGACCAGGATGGTCTCGATCTCTTGACCTCATGATCCACCTGCCTCGGCCTCCCAAAGTGCTGGGATTACAGGCTTGAGCCACCGTGCTTGGCGTTTTCCATAAATTATACATACATCTACGATAAATTCCAGCCATTCCACTCCTATTTACCCAAGAGAAACGAAAGCAGATGTCCACATAAAGACTTGTATTAGAATGTTCATAGCAGCTTTATTCCTGAGGCCAAAAAACACTTGTATATTTATTTATTATTATTACTATTTTTTGAGACGGAATCTTGCTCTGTCACCCAGGCTGGAGTGTAGTGGCACGATCCTGGCTCATTGTAACCTCCGCCTCCCAGGTTCAAGTGATTTTCCTCCCAAGTAGCTAGGATTACAGGCACCTACCATTACCTCCAGTTAATTTTTGTATTTTCGTAGAGATGAGGTTTCACCATGTTGGTCAGGCTGGTCTCTAACTCCTGATCTCAAGCGATCCAATTGCCTCGGCCTCCCAAAGTGCTGGGATTACAAGTGTGAGCTACCACACTCAGCCTATTTTATTTTTTTGAGACAGAGTCTTGCTCTGCTGCCCAGGCTGAAATGCAGGGGCGTGATCTTAGCTCACTGCAACCTCTTCCTCCTGGGTTCAAGAGATTCTCCTGCCACAGTCTCCTGAGCTGGGGGTTTACAGGCAAGCGACACCACGCACAGCTGATTTTTGTATTTTTAGTAGAGACAGGTTTCACCATGTTGGCCAAGCTTGTTTTGAACTCCTGGCCTCAAGTGATCCACCTGCCTGAGCCTCCCAAAGTACTGGGATTACAGGCATGATCCACCGCACACAGCCTTGTTTATAATGGCAGAAGATTGAGGGAAAATGCCCATCAGTACTAGACAAGTCAAATAACTGTAGAATGTCTGTTTCAAAAGCTCTTTATGAAATCATGAAGAGTGACCTCATTGAAAAAAGCAGCTGGGCGTGGTGGCTGATGCTTATACTCCTAGCAATTTGAGAGGCTGAGGTGGGCAGATCACTTGAAGCCAGGACCCCATCACTAAAAAAATATGTTGTTTTAAAAAATTAACTGGGTGTGGTGACACATGCTTATAATCCCAGCTACTAGGGAGGTTGAGGCAGGAGGATCGCCTGATTGCCCAGGAGTTCAAGGCTGCAGTGAGCTATAATCATGCCACTGCACTCTAGCCTGGGTGACAGAGCGAGACTCCGTCTCAAAAAAGAAAATGGCTTCTTTGGTTTTCTTGTAATGAAAAAAAAAAGAGAAAAGATCAGAAGTGTATATAGCATGTTATCATTTGCATAAAAAGAGAAAAATGCAAACAATGATAATAATAATAGTGAATAGTTACATGGCATCCACTGTTTGCCAAACACTCTTCTAAGTATCTTACATACAGCTGGTTATTACTATTATCTCCCTTTTACAATTGAGCAAATTGAGATTTACAAATGTAAATAAACTGGAAAGAAACATAAACAACTATAAATGGTGTCTGGCCAGGCGTGGTTGTTCATGCCTATAATCCCAGCACTTTGGGAGGCCGAGGCGCAAGGTCAGGAGTTTGAGACCAGCCTGGCCTACATGAGGAAACCCTGTCTCTACTAAAAATACAAAAATTAGCCAGTTGTGGTGGCAGGTGCCTGTAATCCCAGCTACTAGGGAGGCTGAGGCAGGAGAGTCGTTTGAATCCAGGAGGTGGCGGTTGCAGTGAGCTGAGATCACGCCACTGCACTCCACTCTGGGCAACAGAGCAAGGCTCCATCTCAAACAAACAAACAAACAAACAAACAAAAAATACCAGTGCCTAATAGCATTTGGGGAAACTTGGTGGATAGAAAGATTTTCACTGTAAATCTCTTTAAATGGTTTTTTGACCCAAGTGAATATACATGGAACAAAAAAGTTAAATAAGGCTGGGCACAGTGGTGCATACCTGTCATCCCAGCATTTTGGGAGGCTGAGGTGGAAGGACTGCTTGAGCCCAAGAGTTAAAGAACAGCCTGAACAACATAGCAAGACCCTGTCTCTACAAAAACGTGAAAATATTAGCCAGGCATAGAGCTATGCACCTATACTCCCAGCCACTGGGGAGGCTGAGGCAAGATGATCACTTGAGCCCAGGAGTTGGAGGCTGCAGTGAGCTATGGCAGTGAGTTATGATCATGCCACTGCACTCCAGCCTGGGCAACAGAGCAAGACCTTGTCTCAAAAACAAGTTATCTACCAGTTTTGGAGAAGGGCAAAAAAAAAAAAAGAACGATAATAATTACAAATTTTTTTTTTTTTGAGACGGAGTTTCGCTCTTGTTACCCAGGCTGGAGTGCAATGGCGTGATCTTGGCTCACTGCAACCTCCCCCTGGGTTCAGGCAATTCTCCTGCCTCAACCTCCTGAGTAGCTGGGATTACAGGCACGCGCCACCATGCCCAGCTAATTTTTGTATTTTTAGTAGAGACGGGGTTTCACCATGTTGACCAGGATGGTCTCGATCTCTTGACCTCGTGATCCACCCACCTCGGCCTCGCAAAGTGCTGGGATTACAGGCGTGAGCCACCGCACCTGGCCTTACAATTTTTTTTTTTAAGATGAAGTCTCACTCTGTTGCCCAGGCTGGAGTGCAATGGTGCAGTCTTGGCTCACTGCAACCTCTGCCTCCCAGGTTCAAGCAATTCTCCTGCCTCAGCCTCCCGAATAGCTGGGACTACAGGTGCGTGCCACCACACCCGGCTAATTTTTGTATTTTCAGTAGAGACGGGGTTTCACCATGTTGGCCAGGCTGGTCTTGAATGCCTGATCTTGTGATCTGCCCACCTCAGCCTCCCAAAGTGCTGGGATTACAGGCATGAGGCACTGCGCCCAGCTAATTTTTGTATTTTTAGTAGAGATGGGGTTTCTCCACGTTGACCAGGCTGATCTCAAACTACTAACCTCAAGTGATCCTCCCACTTCAGCCTCCCAAGGTACTGGTATTACAAGCGTGAGCCACTGCATCCGGCCCATAATAAATTTTTTTAAAAGGTTAAATAAAAATTTAAAATAAATCAAATGGAAGAACAGGTGGGTAGGTAAATATCCAAGCCAATCCCTGCCCAGCAAATCCCCTCCCACAGCATATGAAAGAACTCAGGACTCACAGAGTTGGGATAAGAAGGCTTGGTCTCCAAGCAGGTCCTCGTAGTAGAGAATGAACCAGCCCTCAATCACCAGGTGAACGAACCCACACACTGCAAACCAGCACAGGGACAGTCGCCGCCAAGTCCCCAGTGGGACCACCGCGGCACGACCTGACAACAGCCATGTGGTCACAACTAAGACCCCTGTGACAGAGAAGAGGCCAGCCAGTATATGCCAGGTGGGGCGGTCATTAGGCACAAAGTTGTCCAGTCTTAGGTGCTGAGGCCAGTATGGGTGCAAAGGGCCCGCGTTGGTAGTCATGTCTTTGTGGGCTGATGGCTGCGTGCGGATCGGCAGGAAGTTAAAAAAAAAAAAAAAAAAAAAAGGAACAGGAAAACCTGGACAAATAGAAAGCACAGAATGAGATAATAAAATTCAAATAGTTTATTACCAAAAGAAATGTAAAAGGACCGAATTTACCAGTTAACAGACAGGACTGTAACATTTCTAATTACATTCCGTTTTAAGAGTATGACTAAGGCCAGGCAATATGGCTGGTAATTCCAGTGCTTTGGGAGGCTGAGGCAGGAGTAGCGCCTGAGGCCAGGAATTCAAGTCCAGCCTGGGCAACGTAGTGAAACTCTGTCTCTAAAGAAATAAGAAAATTAGCCATGTGTGATGACACATGTCTGTAGTCCCAGCTACTAGGTAGGCTGAGGCAGGAGGATCACTTTGAGCCCAGGAGTTCAAGGCTGAAGTAAGCTGTGATCACATCACTGCACTCCAGCCGGAGACTCTGCCTCTAAAAAAGAAAAGAATGCCGGGTGCTGTGGCTCATGCCTGTAACCCCCAGTACTTTGGGAGGCCGAGGCTAGTGGATCACTTGAGTTCAGGAATTCGAGACCAGCCTGGCCAACATGATGAAACCCCGTCTCTACTAAAAACACAAAAATTATCCGAGTGTGGTGGCTGCACCTGTAGTTAGTTACAGCTACTTGGGAGGCTGAGGCAGGAGAATCTCTTGAACCCGGGAGGCGGAGCTTGCAGTGAGCAGAGATTGCGCCACTGCACTTCAGCCTGGGCAACAGAGCAAGACTGTCTCTAAAATAAAAAAGAAAAGAAAAGAAAAAGAGCATGACTGAAATATAAGGCCGCAGAAAGACTGAAAGCTTGTTCCAGCCCTCTAGGAGCCATATTATAATGTGGTAGAAACAGTCACGATCTCAGTCCTTGGGGGTCAAAGTCCGGTGGGAGGCACATGGGAACAACACTTGATCCCAGCCCTCCCTGTCACAGTCTGGCGAGGGAGATACAGGACCAGGCTTGGTCTCTTCCTTCAAGGATCACAAACTGGTCACGACCACCAAACCCAGTCCTGTGCTCCGGCGTCACAGTTTGGTAAGAGACACAGGAACCAGGCGTGGTCCCTTTGCACGGGTCAGCGTCTTGGACTGTTCAACAGAAAGCTATTCTCTCCCCCTGCCGTCCCCATAGTCCTGAAAACTGCAGCTGGGGGACAGAGAAAAGAAAACAAATCAGAACTACAACCTTCAGTGCCGGCGTTTGGAAAGCCAGAGCCTCCCCGCGAAAGCGTGCAATGCCGTCAACCTGCCGGGAAGTGGCGGAAATTGAAAGGCTAGTATCAGACGAGGATCGCTAGAGCGGAACACAAAGCCCTCCAATCCGAACCAGACCCCTCCAGTCCTACAGCCTAATGAGAAGGCGGATCTTGTCGTCCGGACTACTGTGCGGTAGCAGAGGGTCTCGCGCCGGCGCAAGGGGGCGGTGTGTGTGTTGGGGGATGGCAAAGGGTCTCGCGCAGGCACGCCGCCGAGGGCGGGCTGCGTAGCCTGGGAGAGCTAGGGGAGGAAGCAGGGTGCCGGGTGGAGGGCACTCACCCAGCCGCGAGACGGCAGCGGCTTCCCACGGGGCTCCGGACTCCGTGTTGGCTCTGGAGCTCTGTTACATCCCTAGTTCGGGCTCATCCCCCTTGTAGGTTCCCTCGCCTTATGGAGCGGGCCAATGGCGAAGCGAAGAAGGCGGCCTGTGCCGCTCCCAACCAATAGGCGCTCTCTGTGTGCCGCCGGCCCCGCCCCCACGCGTGGCGCCATTTTCACCTGAGTCAGGCTTGGGGCGGAGACTGGGGCAGGCCAAGGTTGGTGGGCGTTTTGCGTCAGTAGCCAATCTGCATCAAGTCCTGGCTTCAATTTCCCCATTCCCTCTTCAGTCGATCAAAACAGGGACTCATTAAGGGTTGCATCCTCATTATCTGCTGGTGAAATCAGCGTTGCGTTGCATCCTCTCACCTCCGCCCTTTTCTAAGTAGAGTAACCCTCATCATAATGCAAGGAAAGTGTTACAGGTAGATCACATCCTGTACACTGCAACCACCCCCTCCCCAGCTCTTATGTGCTCAGAACTCCTCAGTTCTAATAGCGATCATTTTCTCTTCTCCCAACCACAAGTCAGAACTAATCAGAACCCAAGCCTCTGAGTCCTACTGGCCAATTGGCATGAAGACCCTCAATATCCCTGTGCCAATTCTAAACGCCTAACCACCAGTGGGCCCCCAGACGGAGCAATCAATCAGAATTCAGACCCATCCCAGATCTCCCATCCAATTAGAACCCACAACCCTCAGCCCTAAGGACAAATAGGCACCAATCTGTCATCTCTCTTGCTTTCTCTCCTCTGTGTCCCACTCAGAACAACCAATCAGAATGGGGATCCTTCAGTTTTCCAGCCAATCAGGCCTCCCCAACATCCAACTATACAATCTGTCCCTGCCCTACTCAAACCAAGCAGGACCAGGACCCTGCCATCTTCAGGCTCATCATCTAATCTAACAATCATAAACTAACCATGAACCAATCATAGTCTGCTCTCTCTTCATGGTTTCCAGCTTCCAAACCTTTATCCATGCAGTGCCCCCTTCCTCACTCATTCCTATTCCCCTCTGAGCAGTGAAGAAGAAGCCTATTGTATATTTCCTACTTTTATTTGACAATAACAAACTGTATATAAAAAGGAAGACAGAAGGCGGGGAGGCCCTGGATCTCCCCCTCTCAGTTTCCCCAAGTGTCCCCCACCCCTAGGTCCCAGCAGGGACTACCCCCTTCCCGCCTTGTGGTGGGGTGGGGATTGACAGGCATGGAAAGAGTGTGACTGTGTGTGTGTGTGTGTGTGTGTGTGTCTGTGTTTATGTGTGAAGGTGTTGGGAATCAAGGATGGAGGGGGCCAAGGAGTAGAGAGAGGGCCTTCCCTCATCTTCTATCATTGGCACCCTGAGAGGGGTCTTAAGAGGGTTATTAGGGTCCACAGATGTGCCTCAGCCTATGAGACGGTAGAAGATCCAGCATCCAAAAGTGACCCAGTGACTGGCCCAGCTGAGCTCTGACCACTTGTGGAGAGTGTATGCCATGCCGTAGCCCTGTGGGAGAGAAAGAGGTGATGGTCCCACTCAGCAAGGACAAAGAAGGTCTCAGGAAAACCCATCGTTTGCCCAAGGACATTTCTATGATGGCCCTAGGTGAGGCCCTGCAGAAGGGCCTACGTACATATGAAAGGTAACCAGATATAGTTTTTGGCTTCTTTAAAAATCATTTTAAAAACAAAGTGATCCCATTCTCTGGCCTGTTATCTCCAAAATATATAAAGAACTCCTAAAAATTTTGAGAAGGTGAATAAGTCATCCCAGTAAAGGAAAAACAAATGGCTCTTAAACATATGAAAAGATGCTCAGCCTCATTCATAATCTTCCTCTTTTAATTATTACTTTTTTTTTGAGACAGGATCTCATTTTGTTGCCCAGGTCGGAGTGCAGTGGCATGATCTCAGCTCACTGTAACCTCTACCTCCTGGGTTCAAATGATTCTCCTGCCTCAGTCTCCCAAGTAGCTGGGATTACAGATGCTGTGCCACCATACCCACCTAATTTTTGTACCTTTAGTAGAGACGGAGTTTCACTATGTTGGCCAGGCTGGTCTCAAACTCCTGATCTCAAATGATCCACCTGCCTTGGCCTCCCAAAGTGCTGGGATTACAGGTGTGAGCCGCTCCGCCCCGCCATCTTCCTCTTTATTGAAGTGGCAAACAAATCCAGGAAGTTTGAGAGGCACTCTATGCTGGTGGGGCAGCAAGCACATTCATGCATTGCTAGTGGGAGAGCACAAAAGTACTACTCCATTGAGGCTATCAGGAACAGATCCTACAGATCTGTCTGCACCTGTGTGGATCCACGTGGGTACAGAGTTCCTGCTGCAGCATCGCTTGTAATAGGAAAGGACTGGAAAATCACCTGATGTCCACCAATAAGAGAAAAATTAAACTGTGTTACATCCTCACAGTGGAAAAAATGAATGAGGACACTATATACTGATGTGGAAGATTTTCAAAAATTGCAGAATAGTATCATTCATGTGTTATCTTTGGGTAAAAACTGGGGCGGGGGAGAATTTAAATATATATATATATATATATATATATATATATATATATATTTTTTTTTTTTTTTTTTTTGAGGTGGAGTCTCGCTCTGTCACCCAGGCTGGATTGCAATGGCGCAATCTTGGCTCACTGTAGCCTCTGCCTCCCAGGTTCAAACAATTCTCCTGCCTCAGCCTCCCAAGTAGCTGGGATTACAGGTGCCTGCTACCATGCCCAGCCAATTTTTGTATTTTTATAGAGATAGGGTTTCACCATGTTGGTCAGCTGGTCTCGAACTCCTGACCTCGTGATCTGCCCACCTCGGCCTCCCAAAATGTTGAGATTACAGGCCTGAGCCACTGCACCCGGCCTAAAGTACATTTTTATATTTGTGTCCTAGGTGAGGGCACAAATGTGTTTAAATTTTGTAAAGATATTTTAATAAAAGGATAAAAGTGGGCCAGGCACAGTGGCTTACACCTGTAATCCCAGCACTTTGGGAGGCCAAGGTGGGTGGATCACTTGAGGTCAGGAGTTCGAGACCAGCCTGGCTAACACGGTGAAACCCTGTCTCTACTAAAATACAAAAATTAGCCAGGCGTGGTGGCACATGCCTGTAATCCCAGCTACTCGGGAGGCTGAGTCAGCAGGAGAATCACTTAACCTGGGGAGCTGGAGGTTATAGTAAGCTGAGATCGCACCACTGCACTCCAGCCTGGGCAACAGAGAGAGACTCTGTCTCAAAAAAAAAAAAAAAAAAAAAAAAAAAAAAGGGCTGGGCGCAGTGGCTCAAGCCTGTAATCCCAGCACTTTGGGAGGCTGAGGCGGGTGGATCACGAGGTCAAGAGATCGAGACCATCCTGGTCAACATGGTGAAACCCCGTCTCTACTAAAAACACAAAAAATTAGCTGGGCATGGTGGCGTGTGCTTGTAATCTCAGCTACTCAGGAGGCTGAGGCAGGAAAATTGCCTGAACCCAGGAGGCGGAGGTTGCGGTGAGCCAAGATCGCGCCATTGCACTCTAACCTGGGTAACAAGAGCAAAACTCCGTCTCAAAAAAAAAAAAAAAAAAAAAGGATAAAAGTGATTACCTGTAAGAGGGTCGGGGGCAGAAGGTGGGAGCAAGTCTTTTCTCTGAATATCTTAACTACTGTTTGGTTTTTGAACCACATGATAGACATTCACTATTTTAAAATTGGTTTTTGAACCACATGATAGACATTCACTATTTTAAAATATTTTAATGAAAACGAAACAAAAATTTTATTTAAAAAGAAGCAGGCCAGGCGTGGTGGCTCATGCCTGTAATCCCAGCACTTTGGGAGGCTAAGGCGGGTGGATCATGAGGTCAGGAGTTTGAGGCCAGCCTGGCCAACATGGTGAAACCCCGTCCTACTAAAAATACAAAAATTAGTCAGGGGGTGGTGGCACACGCCTGTAGTCCCAGCTACTCAGGAGGCTGAGGCAGAAGAATCACTCGAACCCAGGAGGCAGAGGTTGCAGTGAGCCAAGATTGCACCACTGCACTCCAGCCTGGGCGACAGAGCGAGACTCCATCTCAAAAAACAGAAAGAAAAGAAAAAAAAAAAAAGAAAAAAGCCAAGCGTAGTGGCATGCACCTCCAGTTACTTGGGAGGCTGAGGTGGGTAGATTGCTCCAGCCTGGGAGTTTGAGGCTGCAGTGAGCTATGATTGTGCCACTGCACTCCAGCTTGGGTGACAGAGACTGTCTCAAAATAAAATTAAAAAAAAAGCAAAACCCAGATTTTTTTTTTTTTTTTTTTTTTTTTTTTTGAGACGGAGTTTGGCTCTTGTTACCCAGGCTGGAGTGCAATGGCGCGATCTCGGCTCACCGCAACCTCCGCCTCCTGGGTTCAGGCAATTCTCCTGCCTCAGCCTCCGGAGTAGCTGGGATTACAGGCACGCGCCACCATGCCCAGCTAATTTTTTGCACCTTTAGTAGAGACGGGGTTTCACCATGTTGACCAGGATGGTCTCGATCTCTTGACCTCGTGATCCACCCGCCTCGGCCTCCCAAAGTGCTGGGATTACAGGCTTGAGCCACCGCGCCCGGCAAAACCCAGATTTTGCACACTTAATCTGGATTAAAATTTTTTTTATGTCAAAAAACATGAAGTTTTGTTTTAGACTGAAAAAACTAACTAAAAGAGAAGCAAAAACCTGGATTATGCAAGAGCCATATGAATAAATGTTATTTTAAAGTTGTTGTTAATTTAAAAAGGAGTAAAATCTGGAATTTGCATACTCAATATGAACAAAAATAAGGCAGACATTTTAATGAAAAATTTTAAAGTGCAGAATCCAGGGTTTGTATACTCGACCTAAGTAAAATAAAATATTTTTAAAATAAATTAAATAAAACAGGGTGCTCCTGTCTGTTATCCTGGCACTTTGGAAGGTTGAGGTGAGGGGACTGCTTGAGCCTAGGAGTTCGAGATCAGCCTGGGCAACGTAGGGAGACCCTGTCTCTACAAAAAAATTTTAAAAAATCAGCTAGGCTTAGTGGCGTCCACCTGTAGTCCCAGTTACTCAGGAGGCTGAAGCAGAAGGATGGCTTGAGCCGAGGAATGTGAGGCTGCAGTCAGCCGTGATCACACCACTGCACTTTAGCCTGGGTGACAGACCTTGTCTCAAAAAAAAAAAATTAAGAAGTCTTGCAAATTCTGACTAAACAATAATGGAATGAAATAATTAACAAAAGTAAAACCTGGATTTTCCTCTCCATCTCTATAAAATGAATTTTTTTTTTTTTTTTTTTTTTTTTTTTTTGAGACAGAGTCTTGCTCTGTGGCCCAGGCTGGAGTGCAGAGGCATGATCTCAGCTCACTGCAACCTCTGGCTTCCAGGTTCAAGCGATCTCCTGCCTCAGCCTCCTGAATAGCTGGAATTACAGGCGTGTGCCACCATGCCTGGCTAATTTCTTATATTTTTGGTAGAGGTGGGGTTTCACCAGCTTGGCCAAGCTGGTCTTGAACTTCTGACCTCAAGTGATCCTCCTGCCTTGGCCTCCCAAAGTGCTGGGATTACAGGCGTGAGCCACTGCGCCCAGCCTAAAATGAATTTTACAAGTAAAATAAATAAATATATCTTGCTCACTTCACCCAGATAAAAGACCCAACAGTGTGACTCAAGCAGAGGGACTACGGGAAAGGACGGAGGAGCACTGGCCGCCCACTCGAAGCAGCACAGTCTGAGCAGCTCAGGCCTCAGCTTCCCCGCATTTGTCCTCATGGTTTGCCCCTGGCAGGCATCGCCACCCTTGGTTAACCTCCCAGCCCAGGGCCCCCCCTCACCTGCTCCTCTGTGGTGTCATCCACATCGACATCAAACAGGGAGCCCAGGTAGGCCAGGTGGAAGATGGCCAGGGCTCCAAAGAACAAGTTTAAGGCTCGTACCCCCAGGCCCTGTGGGGGAACAGATGGATACACTTGGCAACTGGACCTACTCACTGTCCCCCACCTCCTCCTGTGCGGGGGAGCCCAGGGGACACACGGGGCACAGTGGGTCCCAGGACTGAGGATGCCCAGGGTACCCCCTGAGATAGGAAAGAGATGGTTCAGGGAGCCTCCTATAGGAGTTCAGAGGCTTCCAAGGATGAGGGTGCTGTCCACAGTGAGGGCATCCTGGGTTGGGGGAGGGCACGTCTCCAGGGGGCACGTCTCCAGGCAGAGGAGGAAGAGTGGTGGGGCTTTGAGTCGGGGTTTATAGTGATAAACGTTGGAGTCGGGTGGGAGACAAATATGATTTTGTCTGTACTTCTTATTGCAAACAGAATGAAAAACATAAAATGAAACAAAACCAAATCCCCACCATGACCTAGAGGGCCCATGCCTCCCTCCCATCTCCCCTCCCCACCCCACCTCTGCTCAAGCCACACTGGCTGCGTTGCTGTTCCTCAAAGATTCCAGGCCTTTCCTATCTCAGGGCCTTTCCTGAGGGTTCCTCTGCCTGGAACGTTTCCCTCCCTCACCTCCTTCAGTCTTCTCTGACCTCCCTATTTCAAATGGAAATCACCCCCATACCTTCCGTCCCCCTTTCTCCACGCATTTTCTCCTTAGCACTACTTGCAACCTAACACACTAGGTATTATTAGACTTTACTGACTCAGTTTTCACCTACTGTCCGCCTGGCTAAAATGTTTGTCCCATAGGGTTGGGACTTTGGTCGGTTTTGTTCACCGCGGTGTCCCAGCACCTAGAGTACCAACAGGTGCTCCACAGATATTCAGTGGGGGAAACGAATGCCAGGTGTGTGTATACAGCAGATGCTCGATAAATGTCTGTTAGAGAAACAGATGCCAGTGAATAGAGGAGAGGTTATGAGGATGGCACCAAAAGAAGAAGCTGGGCACCCTGAGACAACTACAAGATAGAGACAGAAGGAACATTTTGGATGGGGAGTGTCGGGCACGAGGTTGCCTAGGCTGAATCCTCACCAAGCGATGCCGGTGTGAACAGTCTGGCGGGCACCGCTTTGACAAGACACAGGCACTGAGGATCCGAGCCAGGCGCTTCCGAAGGACTGGGGCAGTGGGGAGAGGCAAGGGGGTCAGGTTAGCCTCAGGGGATGCTGGTTCCAGCCCCCCACCAATCTTCCATCCATTGGTTGGGCTGGGCCATGCACTCACCATGCTCCACGTAAGTGATAAAAGCCAGGGACATCAGGACCGCAGCCAGGTGGAAGCTGAAGCCCTGGGGGAGTGGAGGGGACAATGAAATGGGTGAGGAAGAGGCCCTGCCACCTGCCCCCACGCAGCTTCCACCCTGATCCTGCTCCGCCCTGCTCACATGCAAGAGGGCACTGGCTGCATAGGTGACCAGCACAGCCGAGAAGGTCCCCAGGCGGAGAGCATTCTTGAAAACATCTGGAGGGGAAGAGATGTGGGACAAAATTCTCCTGAGAGTCCCCCAGCCCCTCCTGGAGGGCCACCAGCAGGATGAGAGTACCCACAACCTGTTGGAGCCCCCAGGATAAAGTCCTTAGATGACCTCAAACTTCACATGCCCGAAGCCCAGCTCCTGGTCTCCCCCCAGCCCGCCCTTCCCAGTCTCATCAAGTTCAGTGGATGTCAACTCCACCCTTCCAGTTCCTCAGGGCAAAAACCTGGGAGTCACTCTTGATTTGTCCTCCCCAAACTCCCACATCCAAACTCAGCAAATTCTGTGAGTTCCACCTTCAGAATATGCCAGAATCTGAGCTCTCCTCTCTGTATCCACTGCCGCCACCACCATCACGCCCCCTCCCCTCCGTCTGTCCTCACAGCAGCCAGAGGGATCCTGTGGCAACCCAAGTCAGCCCAGGGCCCTCATCTGCTTGGAGCCCTGACGTAGCTCTCATCTCTCTCAGAGAAAAAGCCAAAGCCCTTTCCACGGCCCACCAGGCCCTCTGGGCCCTCCCTGACCTCACTGCCCGCCACCAGCCCCTCGCTCACTCTGTTCCTGCCTCACTGGCCTTCTTGCTGTTCCCCACACACCAAGCAAGCTCCTGCCTCAGGGCCTTTGCACGTGCTGTTCCTGCCATCTGTTACACTCCTCCCGCGTATACCTGCACTCCCTGCTCCCTCACCTGACTTGCATCTTTGCTCCAATGTCGCCTCCTCCGGGAGATTTGCCCTAATTTTTTTTACAATTGCAGTACCCCACCTTCCCCACTCCTATCTCATACCAGCACTCCTGGATCACCTTTACCTGCTTTATCTTTTTTTTTTTTTTTTTTTCTTTTTAAACCATAGCACTTATCAACACCTGAGCTATTAGGTATTTTTTTTCTCTTATTTATCATTTGCCCCCCAACAGAACTGCAGCTCCACAAGGGTAGGGATTTGGGGTGCCTAGCATGCAGAAGGTGCTCAGTAAATGTTGTATGAATGTATGAAAGGGCCTGGGTTACCAACACAGTTGGAGTGGTGACTTGGTGACTCACAGTTATTTAGCCAATAAGACATGGGCAGGTTCCAGCTTGTGACAACTTCCACCATTGACCGAGGCAGCTCCACATTCAGTGGCTTGGACACCGTCAGATCCCTGTGGGCGGAAGAGACATACAAATTCATTTGGGATCTCAACTCATCTGACCGCCACACTTCTATCTAGGCTGTTCCCTCCCCTGGGAGTACCCGCCCTCCTCCCTGCAGCTCCTCTAGGCGGCACCCTGTGGGAGAGGGGGGTCCCCAAGCCCTCCCACCATTCCAGGTGATCCTTCTCCTCGGTAAAGCCAGCCCCCGCCAACGTGGCCGTGGCCTCGGACAGAAAGCCCACAAAATAGTTGCTGAAGTGGAAGGAGACAGCACTCTCGTAGGCTCGCAGCCACCTGGGGAGAAAGGGGCAGGGGAGAGAGGCATCACGTTTTGGGCCTAGCCTGATACCCCACCACATGTCAGCATCCCGGGTCCCGCTCTGTAGACTCACCTTACCATGGTGCCCCTAGGGCCCCCAGGGGTCAGGAAGGCAGCAGAGAAGAAAGAAAAGAGAGTCAGAGAGGCCCTGGAGGCTGGTCTGAATTGTTAGACAAGACAGACGAAATGTAGCCGCAAAAAAAGGTGAACTATGACAGTCACACACAGACATCCACCCTCAGGTAGTTAGTCTTAAGTGGCTCAAACAGATACACGAGCTGTCCTAAAATATGGCATGGCCTTGCAGGCTCACATGGCCAGATGGCCAAAGCCACCATCAGAGACCCGACCTCACAGACCTGCCCCCTCTAACAACCAGACACAAATCTTATCAGACTCCCAGGCTTGCAGTGCTCTAACCTGACTCAGCGACCACAGGACAGCCGAAAATCCCTGAGCTGGGCACAGAGAGCATCAAACACCCTGCTGTGCACACACACACACACACCCTGCTAGTGGCAATCACACATGGGCAAAAACAGGCAGCATCCTGCGTTGGAAGAAGCACAGGTTCTGAAGTTAGGCCTGGGATTCATGCCTGGCTGCTTAGCTGGGTGACACTGGTCAAGTCACTTGACCTTTTAGAGACTCGTTCAGCATTAGACCTAATCAGCAGCCACGGAGTAGGGGAGGGGCCATTAAAACAAAGAGCCATATCAAACCCTGTAGCCCAACCAGAGGCAGTCCGTCCTGCAGACAGGCACAGACCAGAGTCGGTTACGACCCCTCAGCTAGATAACGCCAAGCCATTAGACAAGGCAGACATACAGGCAGAGGTAGCCCATGAACTCCACAGACAGGCATATGACATGCTACGGTCAGACCCATTCCTGGCCAAAATGTCAGAATCATCAACACAGATTTATCTGATCCAATGACAGCCACGCACCCTATCATTGATGATGGCACAGCCAGACAGCCACTCACAGGCTCACACTCAGGGGGTCAGTGGCCAATAGACAAAACAACCCATACGTGTCCCTAGCCAGAGTTGCTGACAGGTTAAAGTCACCCAACCAACACACATGTCACTCTCCATGACAGTTATGTGACTCGCTCCTAATAGCGAGACAGCTGAACAGATGGACAGCCAGACACATAGTATGTGTTGGAGTGTCAGTCGTACAGAGTCACAGAGCCAAGCTTGGTCAGCCAGCTGGCCACAGTCTCTGTCTAGTCGTGGAGTTGATGGTCAGACACACTTGGACACACAGAACCCATTGGTCGCGGGCTCTGCCCCCACTCATGTCAGCCCCACTCCATGAGCCCTTACACCTGCCCCCCTCATTTACCTGGCTTTGCGTTTCTTGCTGTAGTAACAGAAGACAGAAAGAAGCATTAAGAGACAGACTCAGAACTGGGGAAACCGCGGGTCCCTACCCAACCCCCTCACTGCTGGGCAGGGGTCTCAAAGGCTATGCTCACTTGCGAAGGAGGCGGTCACCGTCGAGGGGGATGAAGTACGGGAAGAGGTAGGGGCCCACGCAAGTGGACAGCACAAGGCACAGCAGGGCCAGTGCCAGGCTCCGGGCCACCTTCTGCAGCCACTGGCGGCTCTGTAGGGAAGGGAGCAAGGCTCCATGAGTGCTGCTCCAGGGCAGCTCCCACAGTCCCTGCCCACCTGTCCACCCAGGACCTCACCAGTGGGCGGCCTTGGACAGCCTGTAGGTAGTTGTGGAAGGATATCCAGGGCCCGAAGACAATGGTGCCCACGAAGTAGAGGTAGCCCATGAACTCCACTGGCGAGGGCACTGCACCCACCTCGCCCCGGTCCAGGTCAAAGCCCAGAGACACTGCCTTCATGGCCACGATCATCTGGGCCCCTATGTGTGGTGCCCATGGTCAAGTGGATGGACAGAGGGCAGATCAGCATGGCAGGGAGGAGGTGCGCCAGGTGAGATGCAGTAGGAAAAGGGGGCACAAAGATGGATAGGTGGGCATGGGACAGGTAGGCAAGTGGGCAAGGAAACGCATGACAGATGGATGCCCTTCCTCCAGAGAGTCAGGCATGTACATGACATGAGACAGACAGACTTAGGGAAAATGCATGGTGGAAAGAGACATGAACCTGAGGGTAACGTGAGGCATGCATGTCCAGTGGAGTGGGCAGATGAGCGAGAAAAGCAGCGGAGGAAACGCACAGGATGGGGCAGTTAGGAGACGTGGAGTGGGGTGGGGGGGTGAGCAGGTGAGAGGGGCGGGGCTACCTACCTCGCATCTTGTGCCATGTCACGGTGTCTACCATGTGCATCTCACTGAGGAAAAAGGTGTTGGTCTTGGTCCCATGACATTCACGGCCTCTGAGACCACAAAGGTGGGGAACCAAGGTGCCCAGAGGGTTCTGCTTCCTCCCATCCTACAACAGTCTCATGGCTGAAAAATTATCCCAGGCTCCCTCCTCCAGGGGGAGCCCATGCTCAACCTGTCCCTTACAGTCCTGTGAGAAGACAAATCTCCCAGATTCCCTTCTCCAGGGACACTCCACGCCCTCCTGAGCTGTGTCTCCTCATAGGCGAATGACTCTCCCAGACTCCCTTCTTTCTCCGGGGAATCCTACCCCCTCCCTGCCTTGGACAACTTCATCTGGGGCCTGGGGACCCACCCACACACTTCAGCCAACGGTGTGGGGATAAGGACGCACACCCATACCCCATGAGTAGGTAGATGAGGATGGTGACGGAGAGGAAGACGCCTCGATGGGAGGAATGTCGGCAGAGGAACAGCACGAGGTAGCACAGGAGGCTGAGCAGCACGACCCAAACCATGTGCAGCTGGAAGAAGTGGTAGAGGCTGAAGAACCCGCCTGCCACGGTGCTTGCATGCTTCAGGTAGGATGGCAACCCTTTGGGCAAAAGGGAGAAAGAAAGGGAGAGAGAAGAAGAAAGAGAGAGAGAGAAAGAAAGAGAGTGTGGGAGGAAGGGAGGGAGGGAGAGAGGGAGAACAAGAAAGAGAAGGTTGGTGGACTGGTAGGAAGGGGAGGATGGCCTGGGCAGAAGGCATAGCCAGGGCAAAAGCCTTCAGGCTGGAATGTAGTGGGATCGGAGGGGCCTGGAACAGGTGTTAGGGAGCTGGAGAGGGTGGCAGGGCCTGGGTTTAAAGAAAAGAAACTTCTATAAAGGGTATTTGGGGGACCCTGGAAGAAATTCAAGCATCATTTTATATAGGATAACATTATCGCATCCAGATTCAATGTCTCAGGGGGTGATGGTGGAGGATATGGTTGTGGGGGATGATGTCCTTGTTCTTGGGGCCACACGCTGAAGGATGTGGGGTACAGTGTCGTGATGTCAGCAGGTTATTCAAGCAATTCAGGAAGATGACAGATAGATAGATGGATGGATAGATAGAGAGATAGACAGATAGATAGAGCCAGCTAATGTGGCAAGATGTTGAAGTTGGAGAATCTGGTGATGCATGCGTGGGCGCTCATTGTACTATTTTTTCAACTTTTCAGTAGCTTTGAAAAATTTCAAAATAATAAACCTGGGAAAAAATAAACCATCCATTTAAAATAAAAGAAAAAGAAAAAAGAAAGTGTAGAACCTTCCGATCTCAGATTTCCAGAAATCTCCACCTCCTATAGGAACCCTGGGGACTTGGAATCTTTCATTAACATACGGGCGTGCTATGAGTGTGGAAACATTTCAGAATCCTAGAATCCAGAAATCGCATCATGCCCTGATTATAGAAATCCACAACGCCAACATTTTAGAAGTCTAGAATGTGAGAATTTCAAATTGTCAGAATCTCCAAGCCCTGTAATCATGGTACTTTGGGATTCCATAACCCTGTGACATCAGCGTGCCAGTGTCTTATAACGTTGGGTTGTAGACATTTCGGAATCCCAAGATCCAAGAATCTCAGCTTTCCGGAATCCCAGAAGTCAGGAATACTGAAGGGCATGGCTTGGCATGGCAGGATGTGGCTCAGTGTGGTGTGACATGGGGTGGCTGGCATAGTAAGATGCGGTGTGGTGGAATGGGGTTTGGCCTGGTGGGATGTGGTGAGGCTGAACATGTTGGGGCCCGGCTTGGACATGCTGGGCCCTGGCAGGATGTGGCAGGGTAAGGTGTGGCTCGATGTGGATGAATGTGAGAAGTCTGATATGGCCTGACGTGGTGGCACACGGTATGGCAGGCACTTACCGAGCCTCCAGAGGAGGCGGCAGGCAAGGCAGATGGCAAGGAGCAGCCAGATCTGGTCAAGGCCCTGCTGGGCAGTAGGCAGGAGACAGCCTTGTAGTAGCTGTTGGAAAAATTCCTGGCGGCTGAAGGTGGCCATTGCGGACCCCCACGGATGGAAGACCAGATGGATAGATCTGTCAAAGCGGGGACACAGAGGGAGCGGGTGTCCGTGGGGCAGACCTCGCTCAAGGGATGGACTCCGGCACTCACATTTCAGTTTGGGGCTGCCCAACCCATGTAGAGGTACGGTACTGGGGGACTGGGGGAGGGTGTGAGAAGTCAGGTACATCAGGCTGAGCCGCCAACTGTGTGCGTGTGGGTGTTCGTTCGGCACGCACACGCACAGCCTGTGACCTGGAGTGAATGAAGGACCTCTGTCTCTCCAATGCTATGAACAGTCCAGTCCGATGGTGGTGGGATGGCATACATTTCAGGCCCATATATCAAATGGGGCGGGCGACGGGAAGGGAAATCCCTGGTTTCCAAGGTAGAGTCGCTCTGGGTGGAGGGCAGAGAGGGGGATTCTGTGACACTTGGGGGCCGTGTGCATCTCTCCTTGTATGGATGCGGCGGGTTGGGGGGTGTCCTGTATCCTCCGCGCGCCCCATCTCATCCTCACCCGGCGAGAGGTCGCCAACAAAGTCCTGCCCAGGTCCGGGGGCTGCAAGGAGGTGGTGGTAGGGGACACAGGCGAAGGGAGAGTCGGAAAGGTGATGGGGAGGGGGTCCCAGCACTCGCGCTACAGATCCGCCCGGGGAGGCCGGCTCAGGGATGGGAGCGGGGGAGTCGCGCGCGCACTACTGACGACCTACCTGGCAGGAAAGAAGCCGTGGTCCTGCGGACCGAAGACGCGCTGCCGCCGCCGCCGCCTCCTCCGGGCAGCCTACCCCGCAGGCCGCAAGGCCGGGACCAGCAGCGGCTCCCAGGGCGGCGCGGCGAGCGGGCCCTTTAAATCCCGGGGCAGCCCGGCCGCTGGCTCCGCCAATGGGAGAGCGGGAGGGGGGCGGGGACGGGGACGCGGAGGAGGGGAGCGGGAGGATCGAGGGAAGGAGGAGCGCGGGGTTGAGGGGAGCCGGGCGCGGGGGTACGTCGGCGCGCAGGGCGTTCACGCCCGCACCTTTCCGGCCTGTGGCCGTTGCAGCCCTGGACCGCTGGCGTCCGGAGGATTTCTGGCCATCCAAGAGCAAACTTCCAAATCTCCAAATTTCCAAGCCTTGGAAGCTGAGAAGGGAAAGAACGGGGAGGGAGGAGGGAAGCCGCTACACCCCCAAATGGTCACCCTGGCACGTCCTCTAGATACCGTGGTGGCCCCGTTTCACAGATGGGAAAACAAACCGAGATCTCTCCTTCCTCATCCTTTGAGAGAACCGAAGTCACTTCCAACCCTTCCCGCCTCCGGGGAACGGCCAGGAACATTTATAAGTAATGACTGTGTCACCTAGGAACACAAATTAGGCGCCTGTGCTTCCCCTGGGGACAAGCTGTGAGCACTTGGCGTGTCGTCGTTGAGAAATGATTTGCGTGCTTAATTCCCCGGCAGACTCTGCATTGAAGGTGACCCCAGCGACTAGTAAATGTTCCCTGTGAACTAGAAGGAGGCTAGTACGGAGCACGTAAAAAGGGTATTTATGAAGCTCTTACACCTATAATCCCAACACTTCAGGAGGCCAAGGGTAGGAGGATCGTTTGAGGTCAGGAGTTGGAGACCAGCCTGGCCAACATGGTGAAAACCCATCTCTACTAAAAATACAAAAATTATCCGGGAGTGATGATGCAAACCTGTGGTCCCAGTTACTCGGGAGGCTGAGGTAGGAGGATGGCTTGAGCCTGAGAGGCAGAGGTTCTAGTGAGCCAAAATCGTGCCACTGCACTCCAGCCTGGGTGACTGGGCGAGACCCTGTCTCAAAAATAAACAAATGAAGACCGGGCGTGGTGGCTCACGCTTGTAATCCCAGCACTTTGTGAGGCGGAGGCAGGTGGATCACCTGAGGTCAGGAGTTCGCGACCAGAATGGCCAACGTGGAGCAAACCCATCTCTACTAAAAATAATAATAAAAAACAAAAATTAGCTGGGCATGGTGGCGGGTGCTTGTAATCCCATTTATTCCGGAGGCTGAGGCAGGAACCCCGGAGGTGGAGTTTGCAGTGAGCCAAGATCACACCATTGCACTCCAGCCTGGACAACAAGAGTGAAACTCCTTCTCAAAAAATAAATAAGTAAATAAACAAATAAGAGCAAAACTTCTTCTCTAAACAAATAAATAGATAAATAAGAAAGAAAGCACTTAAACTGGCCCCAACAAAGACCCGTATAGGGTTCTATCTGCAACAACACTAAGGATTTATGTAGCACCCGCCTTCCACCTACCCTACTGCTGCAGTTTCTAGGCATTCCACTTTGTACCTAGGGTGATGAAGCGCCTATTTTTCCAAAAGAGCACTCACTGCATGCTTAGCTGTGACGTGGAAGGGAGAAGGAAGCCCAGGTCAAGCTGGACTCCACCCTGACCTGGGCAGCCAACTGAAACAAATTTTAATCAGATTAACAACGGCGTGTATGGAACTGGTAAGTCATGTTCATTCACCCGTCTTCACTGTCATTTTCTGTTAAACAAAAGAGTAGGCTTGGCAGGTTTTTGCTGGGAAACACCAGTGGTAATTGAAGAGAAATGTATGTTTTCTCTCTATTTTAACATGCAGTTAAGTGGAGTTCTAGCTCATAAATTAGTATTCATGTATAATAAACAAAAAATATTTAATATTTAATATATATATATATATATATATATATATATAATGAATAATAGCTTAGACCAGATGCACAAATCCCAATTCTTTTCCTTAACAGCAGAATACAGGACATGTATTTTATGAATTAAATTTCATTTTAATTTTTTTCTCAGTTGTCAAACACACTCAAGTTGATTCAACAAAGACCCACAGCACCTACTGGAATACTTCCCTCAGCTGCAAGATCTGGCATTTAAAACTGGAAGATTCTTTAGTAAGCTGGTTTTCTCCAACAAGAAAAAAAAAAAAATCTGGAAGATTCTTACCACATGTGCTTCTGGGCTTTGAAAACTTGATCCTTTCCATCTAGGCTTTTGACTTGTGCAACAAAGAACTAGTATCTAGATTTTAGGATCTGTAACAAACATCTACAAATCACTAAGAAGAGGACAAACAATACACTTGGCAATAGACATCGGATACAAACAGGTAATTCACAGCAGAAGAAACCTGAAATTGCCAATATGTATAATATATGAAAAGATAACCAAATCTGTTTACTTATCAGGGAAATATAAAATTAAAACAACGGTGAGATATAATACCATTTTACATCTACCAGATGTTGTGCTTCATATTTTTTTATCACTGGAGCTTAGTAGAGGGTGGACACTCAGTAAATATCTGTGGTCATTCTGGGTTATGGTTTCTGGGGCGTTTTAAATGAGTACTCCATAATTAAATAAATGCAAATTAAAAACAGTGATAACTGTTTTTCTCTTATGGGACTAGCAAAAATGCCAAGCCTTATAATGATAACATATTTACTCTCTTTCTGTCTCTGTCCTTCTGTTTTTTTTCTCTATTTATATATATACATATGTGCTATATATATATATATATATACACACATATGTGTTTTATATATATATGTAATTTTTCTGAATGATACACAGTGATTTTTCTGAATTATTTGATAGTGGTGGCAGATATGATGCCCTTTTAACTAAATACTTCAGTTTGAATTTCCTAAGAGCAATGACTTTTTTTTTTACATTGCTACCAGCATAGTATGAGGCTTCCATTGCTTCACATCCTCAGAAATATTTGTTATCTGACTTTTTGGTTCTAGCCACCCTGGTGGGCATGTCAATAGCATCGTTGTATAGGAAATTCGAATCATAGATTAAAAGACTAATCATAGACCAAAAAAACCTGATAACAAGATTCTGTTATCAGGTTTTTTTCGTTTCCTCCAATGTGGAACAATGTCTTCGTCTTCACTTAACTTTCATGATCTTGATGTTTTAGGAGAGCACAGACCAGTTCTTTGGAAGAATGTCCTTCAATTTGGGTTTCTCTGATGTCTCCTCGTGATTAGATTTGAATTCTACATTTTTGGCAGGAATTCCACAGAAGTGACGCTGTGTTCTCAGCTTATCAGGAGGCAGGAGGGTTCAGTTAATCCCGAAATTGGCATTAGCATTGATATTTCGGTTAAAGCGGTCTTCCAGTTTTCACCAGTGTAAATTTACTATGTTTCCCTTTGTAATTATTTTTTTTTTTTTGAGACAGGGTCTTGCTCTATCACTCAAGTTTGAGGGCATTGATGCAATCATGGCTCACTGCATCTTTGAACTCCTGGGCTCATGTGATCTTCAAAGGACTAAAGGTGTGAGTCACCATGCCCGGTTAATTAAAATTTTTTTTTTTGTAGAAACAGAGTCTCACTATGTTGCCCAGGCTGGTCTCAGATTCCTGGGCTTAAGCAATCCTCCTGCATCAGCCTCCTAAAGTGCTGGGATTACAGCCATGATCCCCTTTTGTAATTAATAAGTGTCTTGTCAGGAGATACTTTGAGAATGTAACTCTGCATTTTTTAAAATCAAACTTTTACTCCCTACTTTAGCATCCATTGGTGGTTCTTGCCTGAAGCAATAACTATTCTGATAGTGGCCAAATAATGATTTTTTTTTTTATACATACAATGGGATTTTACTGAGAGGAAGAGCTTTCTTTCTCTTTCTCTCTCTGGGACTCATAGATTCTTATTTTCTTTTTCATATTCATTTATTTAAATTGAAATGGAGTCTTGCTCTGTCACCCAGGCTAGAGGGCAGTGGTACGATCTCCACTCACTGCAACCTCCGCCTCCCGGGTTCAAGTGGTTCTTCTGCCTCAGCCTCCCAAGTAGCAGGGATTACATACACCTGCCACCACGCCTGGCTAATTTTTGTATATTTAGTAGAAACAGGGTTTCACTATGTTGGCCAAGCTGGTCTCAAACTCCTGACCTCAGGCGATCCACCTACCTCAGCCTCCCAAAGTGCTGAGATTACAGACATGAGCCACTGTGCTTGGCCAGATTCTTATTTTGTTGATTGACTTTAGGGTCTCACTCTGTTGCCCAGGCTTGAGGGCAGTGGCTCAATCATAACTCACTGCAGCCTACAACTCTTAGGCTCAAGTGATCCGCCTGCCTCAGCTTCCTAAGTAGCTGGGACTTTTTTTTGTTTTTGTTTTTTTGCGACAGAGTTTCGCTCTTGTTACCCAGGCTGGAGTGCAATGGCGCGATCTCGGCTCACCGCAACCTCCGCCTCCTGGGTTCAGGCAATTCTCCAGCCTCAGCCTCCTGAGTAGCTGGGATTACAGGCACGTGCCACCATGCCCAGCTAATTTTTTTGTATTTTTAGTAGAGACGGGGTTTCACCATGTTGACCGGGATGGTCTCGATCTCTTGACCTCTTGATCCACCCGCCTCGGCCTCCCAAAGTGCTGGGATTACAGGTTTGAGCCACCGCGCCCGGCAGTAGCTGGGACTTTTAAAAATTCTTTTCCAAAATGCCAGATATAGGTGATGGGGAGGAAGGCAGCAAATCACACTGCCATGTGTATACCTATGCAACAATCTTGCGTGTTCTTCACATGTACCCCAAAACCTAAAATACAATAAAAATAAAAATAAAAATTCTTTTCCAGAGATGGGGGTCTTGCTATGTTGCCCATGCTGTCCCTGAACTCCTGGCCTCAATCCATCCTGCCATGTCACAAAGTGCTGGAATTACAAGCGTGAGCCACCATGCCTGGCCCCACACTGGATCTTAAAGAAATATTATGAGATCTCAAGGTCAAGAAAGGAAGGAAGGAGGGCTCCAGGTAGCCCAGGTAGGTCCTGACCTGGGCAAAGGCAGAGGGAAATTGTGAGATG